GTTCTTTGACCTTCCTTCAGGATTTTTTCCCCACCATCCTGTGGTGTTGGGTCATCGTTTTGAAGAGACAGCGCCCCGCGTCCCACTCGTCCTCCTCCTCCTCCTCCTCCTCCTCCTCCTCCTCCTCCTCCTCCTCCTCCTCCTCGTCTTCCCCCTCCTCCCTCCGCCCCCGCCTTCCTGCTCCGTGCGTTTCACCCGCCCAGTGGCCCGGTCGGGAGCTCCGCGTAAGGCCCCAGTGGGGGTGCCACATGCGTCTGGCACACCCGTTACAGCGTTGCGTGGCCCGATGGGGAGTTCCACCGAAGGCCTCAGAGGGGGGTGCCACGTGCGTCTGTCACGCCCAGTACAGCGATTCGTGGCCCCTGCCACACCCAGCGCAGCGTTTCGTGGCCGCATAGGGGGCTCCACCGAAGGCCCCAGGGGGTGGGGTACTGCATGCGTCTGTCGCATCCCGTGCAGCGTTTCGTGGCCCCATAGGGAGATCCACCGAAGGCCCCAGTGGGGGTGGAGACATGGGTCCGCCACGCCCAGTGCAGCGTTTCGTTGGCCCATGCGGGGCGCTCCACGCAAAGCCCGTGGGGGGGGTACCACATGCGTCTGCCACACCGAGTGCAGCGATTCGTGGCCCCATAGGGAGCTCCGCTGAAGGCCCCAGGGGGGGGTGCCACATGCGTCTGCCACGCCCAGTGCAGCGTTTTGTTGCCCATTGGGGAGCTCAACGTAAGGCCCTAGCGGGGGGGGGGGCCCGCGCGTCTGCCACACGCAGTATAGCGTGATCCCATAGGGGGCTCCACCGAAGGCCCCATGGGGGGTGCCACGTGCGTCCGCCACTCCCAGTGCAATTCTTCGTGGTCCCATAGGGGGCTCCACGTAAGGCCCATGGGTGGGGGTACCACATGCGTCTGCCACACCCATTGCAGCGTTTCGTGGCCCCATATGGAACTCCACCGAAGGCCCCATGACATGGGTACCCCATGCGTCTGCCACACCCAATGCAGCGTCTCGTGGCCCCACAGGGAACTCCATCTAAGGTCCCAGGGGGGGGTGCCACATGCGTCTGCCACGCCCAGTACAGCGTTTCGTTGCCTCATAGGGAGTGCAACCGAAAGCCCCAGGGGGGTGGTACCACGCGCGTTTTGCCACACCCAGTGCAGCTTTTCGTGGCCCCGTAGGGAGCTCCACCAACGGCCCCAGTGCGGGTGGAAACTTACGTCCGCCATATGCAGTACAGCGTTTCGTGGCCCCCTAGGGAGTTCCATCGGAGGCCCCAGTAGGGGTGGCCACATGCGTCCGCCACACCCAGTACAGCGTTTCGTGGGCAGTGGGGCCGTCCGCATGCATCCCGCACACCCAATTTGGCATTTTCGCCCGCCCAGTACAGCGTTTCGTGGCCCCGTAGGCAGCTCCACGGGAGCCCCCAGAGGGACTGCTTGTATGCGTCCCCCACACGCAATTTTACATGTCATCCACCCAGTACAGCGTTTCGTGGCCTCAATAGGGAGCTCCACCGAAGCCCCCAGTGGGACTGCCCACATGCGTACCGCACACACCCAACTTGGCAGTTTCACCCACCCAGTACAGCGTTTCGTGGCCCCATAGAAAGCTCCACCGAAGCCCCCAGTGGGACCGTTCTTATGCGTCCCGCACGCCCAGTTTGGCATTTTCGCACAGCCGATATAGCGTTTCGTGGCACCATTAGGAGCTCCACCGAAACCTCCAGTGGGACCGTCCGCATGCGTCCTGGCAGCCCAATGTGGCATTTTCACCCACCCACTATAGCGCTTCGTGACCCCATATGGAGCTCCACCGAAGCCCCCAGTGGGACCGTCCGCATGCGTCCTGGAAGCCCAATGTGGCATTTTCACCCATCCACTACAGCGTTTCGTGGCCGCATAGGGAGCTCCGCCGACGGCCCCACTGCTACTGCCCGCATGCGCTTCCCCCTGACCCAGTGCAGCGCATCGTGGCTCCATAGGGAGCTTCACCGAAGAAGATATTCACACATGCTGTGCCTACAATTGCATATGGTTGGGTCCTTCGCCACGTTAATTTTGAGCGCAGCCGCGGTGGATCGCGCTCCCTCAACCATCCTGTGGTGTTGGGTCTTCGTTTTAAGGGGACGGCGCCTCGCGTTTTCCTTCTCCCGCCTCCTTCCTCTCCTTTCTCTCTCCTCCCGTCCCCCTCCCAACATCATCATCGCCGTCGTCATCTTCATCGTAGTCATGATTGTTATCGTCGTAGTCGTCGTCGTCGTTGTTTTCATCATCGTAACCGTCATCATTATCCCAAGTTCGGCGCACCCTCACACGGTTCTTGGCCCCATAGTGAGCTCCACCGAAAGCCCCAATGGCAGGGTCCGCATGGCACCGCTGCCCCATGTCGGCGCATCCCTCACATGGTTCCTGGCCCCATACGGAGCTCCACCGGAGGCCACACAAGGTAGGGTCCGCATGGCACCGACGCCCAACTTCGGCACACTCTTCACGCGGTTCGTGGCCCCATAGGGAGCTCCACCGAATGCCCCAGTGGCAGCGCCTGCATGCAGCCGCCCCACTTCGGCACGGCCCTCAGACGGCTCGTGGCCCCATATGTATATCAACCGAAGGCCTCAGTGGCAGGGTCGGCATGTCTCCGCCGCCTCCTTTTGGCACACCGCTCACACGGTTTGTTGCCCCATAAAGGGGCTCCACCGAAAGCCTCAGTGGCAGGGTCCGCATGGCACCGCCGCCCCATTTCGGCACACCCCTCACACGGTTCGTGGCCCCATTGGGAACTCCACCGAAGGCCCAATTGACAGGGTCCGCATGGCACCGCCGCCCCATAGGGAACTCCACCGAACGGCCGCAGTGGCAGGGTCCGCATGGCACCGCCGCCCCATTTCGGCACGCCCCTCACACGGTTCGTGGCCGCACAGGGATTTCCACCGAAGACCCCAGTGGCAGGGTCCGCATGGTACCGCCGCCCCATGTCGGCACACCCTGACGCGGTTCGTGGCCCCACAGGGGGCTCCACCGAAGGCCCCAGTGGCAGGGTCCGCATGGCACCGCCGCCCCATTTTCGGCACACCCCTCAGACGGTTCCTGGCCGCATAGGGAGCTCCACCGCAGGCTTTAGTGACAGGGTCCGCATGGTAACGCTGCCCAATTTCTGCACGCCCTTCACACGGTTCGTGGCCCCATATGTATATCAACCGAAGGCCTCAGTGGCAGGGTCCGCATGGCACCGCCGCCCCATTTCGGCACACCGCTCACACGGTTCGTGGCCCCATGAGGAGTTCCACTGAAGGCCCCAGTGGCAGGGTTTGCATGGCACCGCCGCCCCATTTCGGCGCTCCCCTGACACGGTTCGTGGCCCCATAGGGAGCTCCACCGAAGGCCCCAGTGGCAGGGTCCGCATGGCACCGCCGCTTCACTTCGGCACACCCTTCACGCGGTTCGTGGCCTCATAGGGAGCTCCACCGAAGGCCCCAGTGGCAGGGTCAGCATGGCACCGCCGCACCATTTCGGCGCGCCCCTCAAGCGGTTCGTGGCCACATAGGGAACTCCACCGAAAGCGGTACCCACAACGCTGTATTCACAATTGCGTATGGTTAGGTCCTTCGCCAGGATAATATTCGTATCGTTTTGGAGGCCGCGCCGTTTTGGTTATCTGGACTTAGTGTTGCGGCAATGATGAGGTGTTCATGTGGCATGCTGATGCCCTTGCGCCGTCATGGGCTTGTGCTTTGTGGGTGGGGGCTCCCGTGCTTTTCCGGGTCTTCGTCTGGCACCGATTCTTGACCTTCACACTTGATGGGATTGGACGAGGGGCGAACATCGCCCGCGTCAGGTTCTGCGGGGCCTGCGGATATGAGGCACCGTTGACCAAGCCTGCCGCTGGGCCTGGAATGTGGGTCGCGGCGGCATAGCTTCGAGATCGTGAATTAGGAGAGTTGCCGGGCTTGTGCTTTGTGGGTGGGGGCTCCCGTGCTTTTCCGGGTCTTCGTCTGGCACCGATTCTTGACCCTCACACTTGATGGGAGTGGACGAGGGGCGAAAATCGCCCGCGTCAGGTTCTGCGGGGCCTGCGGATATGAGGCCCGTTGACCAAGCCTGCCGCTGGGCCTGGAATGTGGGTCGCGGCGGCATAGCTTCGAGATCGTGAATTCGGAGAGTTGCCCCTACGCTTCTGTTGGGTGTCTTTGGGCCGCCCTGGGAGGCCTGTCCGTGGTCCGCTGAGGACATCTTCGGGCTTTTCGAGGCCCCGTCTACAGGCCTCTTTGGGGCCTTGTCGGGCCTAGGGCCCCCTGGGGCCGCGGGGCCTGTTTGGGATCACCTTGAAGTTTTTAAGGTTTATCTGATATCTGACTTTGAAAAGGGACACCTCCTTCATTGCAATTTGGCGTCGAAGGAGCCTCCTTTGCAGATCCCAGGGCCTTCGTGGGTCTATCCAGGCCATTTTGATGCCTCCTGGGATGATCATGGACAATCGTTGGCGGTCTTTAAGGCCAACATGGGCTATCTTGGTCTATGTGTGAACCTTTTCGGCCATGTCGGAGGCGTATACTCCATTACATTGCAAGATGCGCCCATGGGTTTGGAACATCCGTCTTTCGACCAACTTCGGTAGCCTTCAAGACACCGCTGGAGATCCTGCCCAGGCGCCTGAATCAATTTTCAAGACCATCTACAGTTCCAGGTACCGATATCAATGATCTCTTACACTCAAGTGAAAGCGCTCCGCATCGTGCATTTGGGGCGTGGTGGCGAATTCGGCTCCTGCGTTCTAGATGCCCTTCTTCCCTGTTGTGCGCATGGACAACATAATGCTTACATGTTGTCTGCAGATTGACTGACATTGCGAGGTCCAGGAGAGCTCCCCGAGTTACCCAGTGCACCTATTGCGTGCTGAGTCTCTTTTGGTTGCTTTCGTTTGCGGCGGGTCCAATTTTCATCACCTTGCAAGTGCGGCCGCAGTCGTGTATCTCTCAAGCTTCAGCGGCTGGGGGGCTGTAGCACGCAATGGGTAAACCGACAGTTTTGGCAAGGCCATGTGGAACAAAGGCCGGCTGGACACGTACTTAAACGATCGTGCCGACCATGCTCAAAGTCGACAATCTGAGAGGGATGCTTATTTTGCCTTTGTGCTCCTGTCCTGAGGCACCCCTGGATCGTAAACATCCTCGGGACAAATCTTCGATGCCCAGTCGGCGGAAGAAGCGGAGGGGCGGTGGTGGTGGTGCTGGGAGTTGCTGGAGGTTTCCATTCTGGTATCGGAGGGTACCTTGTGAACCCCCTCTAACAACAAGCTTAGAGCACCGACGCAGATACCACTTGCTATTTGGGAGCGTGAGTCTGTGAATGAATGTGCTGCGTGCGCATGTGCTCGCCCTCGGAAAGGAGCCGCCTGGCGTCCGAGGCAGGTGTTCATCCCCGTCGATGCAGCATGCGACTGCGTCTGGTGCTTGTATCTTCAGTTAGTGAAGGAGTGAAGGACATGGAAGTATGAGTTTGGTTCGCGATCTGATGGGTTCTAGTGTGGTCGTTGGACAGTACAATGGTGTCGCGACCTGGAGTTGGTTGTGAACAGGCGGGGTATGTTCTTCATGACAGTGTCCCGTGGCCTAAGCAGCCCACAGCTTCTTCTGGAGCGGATTAATTAGATAAGCAGCTTGTCTGTAATGGCTCTATGTATGCTTCGTGAGAAGGGCGGGGGGGCCGTTGCCAGCCTAGGAATCAGTGACTCGAAGGTCTACCGCATGGTCTCCCACATGGTCTCCCGTATGGTCCTCAGGGTGTGGGGTCGTTGCCTGCCCCGGAGTCGGTGACCTGATTGTTTCCCGAAGGGTCTTCCTCTAGGGTCTCCCCGCATGGTCTCCCGCATGGTCTCCGAGATGGTCTCCCGCACGCTCTCCCGCAGGGTCTCCCTCCCGCACGTGCAGCGCGATACCCGCTTGACACTGGTATAGGCTGTTTGGGATCTGCTGCCAACCGTGCTTCCTCTCGGATGCTGCTCCCCCGCTCCCCCAGTCGCCCCGGCGCCCAGAGCCTCCCAGCATGCCATGGCCATCCGCAGGGCTCCCGAGGCCCACGTCGGCCCTCCGAGGGGCGAGCGCGCCGTGGGAGTCCCCCGGCAGCGCTTCTGGAGAGCAGCCAGCGGTGCGGGGATCCGTGACCCGGGGGGGGAGGGCGCAGGACTCCGTCGCGTCAGCCGCGCTCCGCTTCCCCTCCGCGCCTCGCGGCTCCCCGGGCCCTGCAGCGGAGCCCCCGGGCGTCGATCGTGCCGGGCCTTGGCTCGTGGCCTCCGGTGGCTCGTGCCCCCCCCCCTTTTCGGGCGGGAGCGAGCGCGCTCCACTGCTCGCGGGGTGCCCACCCGTAAACGCTCGAAGACACACGTTGTTGCCTCGACGCGATGGACCGTCAATCCCCCGCGGCGGATCCCCGTCAACCTGAGAGCAGTTACTTTTTCCTTCTCCTCGGTTTGTTTTCCCTTCTCCTCCTCCTCTCTTTTTTTTTCCTCCTCCTCCTCCTTCTCCTCCTCCTCCTCCTCCTCCTCCTCCTGTAGAGGAACGCGCTCGTCCAGGTTGGCTGACGTCGAGGCGCCGCTGTCGTGGGCCACAGCTCGAGGGCCTCCCTCCCGCGGCCTCGTGGCGGAGCCCACGAGCACGCTTTCGGTCTCGGCGGCGCCAGCCCGCGCCCTCTCTCGCGGCCCTGCAGTGGAGCACTGGGGAGGCGGCGCCCTCGAGGGCGGCGCGGCGCGCCAGGGAGGGGAGGGCAGAGGGGGCGGGCCCCCTCCGAGGGCCCAGCAGGCCCCCCCCGCGGACTCCCGAGAGGGGCCTCCCGGGCCACCTCCAGGGCCGCTCGGGGGGGGGGCTCCCCCAGAAGGCCGAGGGAGGGCTCCCGAGGAGCCCCGCCGCCTGCTGAGAGGCCCTGCCCCCTCTCTCTTCCCCCCCCCCCCCCCGGCGCGACGCCGAGACACCAGCAGCTCCCCGCCACGGCACGCATTCTCGGGCGCACGCGCGACGCGCGGCGTGGGGTGGTGGGGAGCGCCTCCAGCGTGGACCGTGTTTGGAGGAGGTCCCTGTCCCCGTTTTCGTCCTCGTCCTCCTCGTCTTTCTCGTCCTTCTCCTTCTATTTGCTGTTTTCCTCTCAGCTCTGGTTGGAGCTGCGCGCCGCCGTACGAAAGCGGTCCGAGCGTCCGAAGCCTGCGGCATTTCTGGTCGTCGTCTTCCGTCCTTTCTCTTGTCCTTGCTGCTCTCCTCTCAGCCCTCGTTGGTGCTGCGCGCCGCTGTACGGACGCGATCCAGGCGTCCGAAACCTTCGGCGACCGTGCCCCGCGCGGCGGGCAGGCTGGGTCGGCCGCGTGGCGCGCCACATACACTGGGGAGCGGGTCTTCCGGGGGGGAGAGGGCGGAGCCATACAGTCTGCCCGAGGTATATGATCGAGGTCGCTTCGGGGAGGGTACACTCATGTTCTTCGTGCCCGTTGACTGTTCCTGTGCATCCTGGGGGAGGGTACCCCCGAGTGCTCCCATGGTATGGGGTGTGTTTGCCGGTGGAGGGTTTCCTGTTCTTGAAAGATGTTGTCTTGGCCCAGGTCGGACCGTATACTTTGTATAATACGGAGGGCGAGGAGAGGGGGGGTTCGTGACGTGAGGTGTGCTAGTGCTAGCTTTACGGGCAGCTCGCTTGGGCCAGTCGCGGGCCACCGCTAGCCAGCCCCCCAGGGCAGGAGGCTGAAGGCCCTCCGTCCCCCAGAGCGCTTGCACGAGGAGGCAGAACAATAAAACGCTTTGTTTGGCGCCCAAGCGGCCCCATGGGGTGGCAGCATGTAGCGGCCCTCTCAGGTTCACATAGCCGTCCGGTTTCAGGCTAGTTGGTCTCGCTCTCTACTTCACACGCGTAACAATCGATCTGGTTGCTCAGCGGGTCGGAGATGTCCTGCGCGCATCTCCTGGTTCGCCGTATTTTATATCCGAAGGGTGAGGTCCGCGATGTACGTGGAAGCTTTCATGGCCGCTGCGTCCAAACTCCCGTGAGCTGCCCCTACCCAGCCCCAGCTGCGGCCCTGGGTGGGATTCGACGCAGCCGTGGGTGGCGTGAGGCTTGCCGATAATTTGCACACACACACACACACACCGGTCGGCGGCTCGGGCAGGCTCACCTGCTCCAGCGCACGGGCAGTGAGGGTGCTGAGCCCGTGGCGTGTTGCGGGCTGCGTGGACTTCAGGCTGTATATATATATATGTATGTATATGCATCCATATATATGTACATATGTATATATATATATATAGTTTCGCCGATGGGCGCGGGCCCCCCCCGCCCCATCTTCCCCCCTCGTAGACTAGATCTCGGCAGCTCTTGGCGGCTGCTTTTGGCGACTGGTCAGGGTCCCTCGTCCCCAGTCTGTTGGTTCGACTGGTATCTGCAGATCGATGAAGCACCAGTCCAGACCCAGACCCTCCAACCCCAACCTTCGGCCAAACGTCCAAACCCAGAAATTAAAACGCCTACATGCTCCCCCGCTCCCCCAGATTCAAAGGCAAAGTTGGCACGCGCGGGGAAGACTGCGGTCGGCGTGCATCTCGCCAAAGCCACTGCCGAATCTGATCGCTGGGGGGCGGGGCGTTGGCAGAGGGACGTGGCATGAGTGTTCGTTGATTTTTTTTTCCGAGGCCCGCATCTCCTGTTGCTGCCGTCGTGCTCTCTCCCCCTCTCGGCGGACCGCTCTCGGCGCTCGCGCTCGCCAGGCCCCGAAGGCGGAGCCGGGCGCGGCGCTCCGGGAGCGCCTCGCGGCACAGGCGGGGATGCTTGGGCGGAGCTCTGCCTGCGAGCGGCTCGGGTGCCTAGGCAGTCGGTGTGTGTGTGTGTGTGTTTATGTGTGCGTGTGTGTTTATGTGTGTGTGTGTGTGTGTGTCGGTGGCCGCCTGACCGTCTTCCACTTCGACGGCGTGGTCCTCTCGCTGCTCTTCGATGCCGCCGTGGCCCTCTCTCGTTACTCCTCGTTGCCTGTCCTGACCGTCTTCCACTTCTGACGGCGTGGTCCTCTCGTGACTCTTTGTGTGTGCGTGTGTCCGTGCATGTCGTCTTCGATGCCTGGGGCCGCCTGCGCGCCGGGCGCCCGCCGTCTGTCGACGGTCGGGTCTCCTCCTCGGCCACTTTCTGCTTTTCCGCTCGCTCCGTGCGCCCCGCGCCTGGCGCGACCCGCCAGTGTCGACCCGCGCGCGTGCGTCCGCCGGCGCTCCCGATTCAAGCATGTGTTTGCGGCCAGAGGTCGGCACCGCCCAAGCCATGCGTGTGCTGGTCCATCAGACTCGCATGTCGTACACTACACGCTCGGTGGTGGGGAATTTCTGGCCGTCCGCCCGATCTGCAGTGATGTGTTTGTGTAATGTGTTCCCTTAGGACGTGCGCCCCCAAGGGGGGCGCGTAATAGTGGTGTGTTCTTCCGCGGCCTAGACAGAGGGGGGCTTGCTGTGAGGTGACCTTGTGTTAATGGATTGTGCGTGAGGGTGGGAGGGCACTGGAGTTGTGGGCCGTTGTTTGCTGTTGTAGGAGCTTCGCCAGACCAGATTCGAGTTTGGGGCGGGTGTCACGAAGATCAGGCTGGGAGGGATGATGCGTCCAGGTCGTCTAGGGCTGCCTGTGCCGCTGGGCGAGGTGTGCTGCCGAATGAGACTCGCGCGCGTTTGTGTGTGTGTGTGTGTGTGGCTATGGTGTGTGTGTGACTGTGTGTGTGTGTGTGTGTGTGTGTGGTGTAGATGTGTGTGTACCCCTCGCGGGTACGCGTGGCAGTTTCCACCTTGCACACTTCGTGGTCGGTGCCTTACCGCCTTGCTGGCGGCGGCCTTACCGCCTTGCTGCTTGCGCCCGGACATAGGGTGCGGGCCGGCATGGCCGCGTTTTTGTTTGTCGAGTCTTATTTTTTTGGTTTCGTATTAAAATGCAGATTAATCAAACAGTTACATTGTTTTTGTATATGAGTACACACACACACATATATATATATCTATATACATGAATCTATTTTTATATAATATATTGTATAGAAATGAAACAACATTCCCTCCTCCTCGCAGGTAGGGCTGCTGCAATTTGCTGTTCTAGCTGGGCTTCAGCTGTATGCCAGCTTGCTCTGCTGGCAGCTTTCCTCCGCAGTGGTTCGTCGGTCCCCTCTCCCTTTGCGTCGCGGGGATCTCTCAGTCCTCGCCGCCGTCGGTCGGTCGGTGGTCGGCCGTGTCGCGGGATCTTCCGTCGTCGTCGTTCCGGGCTCCTCCTTTGTTTTTGCTCTTGCTGCGTCCCCCCACCCCTCTCCTTTCCTCTCCTTCTGAGTCGTCCCCACTGGTGGGGTCTGTCCTCTTCTGTTTGAGCGTTTGTGTATCCCGCCGGCGGGTTCGCTTGATTCGTCTTCTCTTTCATCATGTCGCCACTTGGTCGGAGTGGTGTGACCTGTGAGGTGATGCGTGCAGTCTTATTTGGGCGTATATGGTGTGCCCTATCTTGCCTGGCTTTGCTGTCGCCTGCCTCGCCAGTAGCTTTCGCGGCTCTGGTTGCGGTTGGGTCTGCCATTTTGACGCTGGCGTCGGCATTGCATGCTCGGCCGTGCTCGCGCCTTGTCCACCATCCATGTGCGCCGCTGCGTTTCGTGACTGCTGTTCGCGGTCGCACGCGTTCGGCTCTGCTTTTTTTCGGGCAAGGCCAAGCCAGTCTCGGCCGCGTGATTGTCCATCACGCCGACCTCATGCACCTTGTTGCGCGGTCGCTCAATCCGTTCTTGCTCGCTGCGAGGTCGGTGGCGTTGCTTTGTCGCGCAGTTTCCCTGCGTGTATGCACCGCCACCAGGTTGGCTGGTTTGGCAGTCTTATAGTTGTTCTTGCTTGTTGCTGTCTCTTTGAGGATTCAATGAGCACCAGACTCCTGCTTGCGCTTCAAACTACCCGCGTCGAACTTATATTACTCGGGCTTTTTGGCCGATGCACTTTGGCATTTCAGTGCCTCACGTCTTCCACCTCCAATCTGCGTGGCTGTGACTGGGATCTTTCATCATGGCGCGTTCGACATTGTTCGTTCGCAATTGGCACCTCTACCTGCCGACCGCGCCTGTGGTCCTTCTGCGCCGCCGACTAACAAATGTGTGTGCGTGCGTGGACATGCTCATATACGCACAGGGATGCGAGCGTGCAGTTTCGAACTTTCCTTGCCACTTAGAGTAAATACGGGGGCCATGTTTGCTTCGAGCTCCGCCGAGTCTGGGACCGTTTCGTGACTCACCCCAGGTTGCGGGAGTACGTCTTGAGTGTCTCTCGGGGGTTTGGGTTCCGGATAATTCCCCAAAGTTGTTGCAGGGGGGTTCGATCCTGTACCCTACAGGGTTCAAGAGTGGGTGTCGTTATTCGCGTGGTTCGGGGTCTTTTCTGGCTCTCTTCGGGATTATCTTAGTATTTGTCCAGGGTCCATCTGGGTTATTCCCAAAACATTCGGGCGCCTCGCGAAGCCTTTTCCAAGAGACCTCAGCAGTCTCTCCCCAGCATGTGTTTGACGATACGCTCTCTCTGGGAGAGGGCTATGGACGCTGCGGACACCTGTCGCCGCAGTTGAGTCGGCTTAGCGTATTTGTCGACACTGGTGGGTTTGTTTCGTCCTCCAAGCTCTCATTGGTAGATATTTTGCTGCCTGAGGCAAGTCCTGCCGCCGTTCCAGCGCAGCATTCTGCGTGGCGAGTGCTCGACGTTCGATGGAGCACCATACGTCGTGACGTGTGACACCTTGTGTCTTCTGGGTTGGAAGGCTGTGATGTTGATGATGCTAATGATGATAATGCAAATTATGCTGTTGATGATGATGGTGACGGTGATGGTAATACGATGATGGTGATGATGATGCTGATGCTGATGATGGTGATGGTGTCTGATGATGAGGATGATGACGATGAAGACGGTGACGGTGGCGACGACGACGATGATTATGATGATGCTGATGATGATGGTGCTGATGATGATGGTGATGGCGATGACGGCCATGATAGTGATGATATTCCGGTGCTGAGGATTGTGGGCATGCTGCTGTTGCTGCTGCATGTGATGCTGACGTTGTTGTTGATGGTGATGATGAGGATGGGGATCAGGATGGTAGTGGGGATGAGGATGAGGATGAACATGATGATGCTGCTGATGATGATAATGGTGATGACGATGATGCTGCTGCTGATGATGATAATGATGGCGATGCTGATTATGATACTGATGATGATGATGATGATGATTCTGATGATGATGGTGGCGATGATGATGATGCTGATGATGTCTATGATAATTCTGATGATGCTGATGATGATGGTGATGATGATGATCATGCTGATGCTGATGACGATGATGATGATGATGATGATGGTGGTGGTGGTGGTGGTGGTGGTGGTGGTGAGGGTGGTGGGTGATGATGATGCTGATGATGATGCTGCTGATTATGATGATGATGATGATGATGGTACTGATGAGGACGGTGATGATGCAAAAACTGACG